ATAAGGCCCAAAACCACATGATGACCTCAAAAAATGCAGAAAAAGGATCTGACAAAATTGGACATCCACTCATTCTAAAGTATCTCAAAAATAAGTCTAGACCTCAAACAGCGTGAAGGCTACATACGACCAGCACACTTTTCACATCACATTACAGCGAATAAATGAAAGCTTTCTCTCTAAAATGAAGAACAATACAGGAAGGTCTACTCTTGCCCCTTGTGTTCTGCCACCACAGCAAAGCAACAATGAAAGATCAAGAGGAGGGGTGACAGGAGATTAAGAAAAACACAGAGACATTTTTAAGCAAAGCTGAGGCTAGGTGGATACTGTCCTCTGATGGAGGAACAGTGACCAGAACCAGCTCAGCATGTTTATTATATAGAGTCTCATTATCAGGAAGTTAAATTACAGAAGCCTTGTAAATTGTCCAAAGCTTGTGAGTTGTTGAGAGGTTTCTTTGTGCACTAAAAAGTACAGAATTAGGAATTTCTTGCGGCTATCCTGTTGTGCCCAGAAAACCCATTTTACCGGACTACTTTATAACTGTTAGCATCAGAGCCGAGTGTCAAGGCTATTCCCACATCTTGCCTTTGGCAGGGAATGTTTCCCAGGCATGGTTTTGCCAACACACAGGATAGGCTAATGACCAGGACTTATTTGCTCTTCACATCATTCATCATAGTACTAGAAATCCTCTCTCTCTCTCTCTCTCTCACACACACACACACACACACACACAAAATAGAACTGACTAACAAATTAAATCAAGTGGCAGGTTACAGAATCAACATGTCAAAGTCAGTAGCATTTCTATTCACCAACAATAAACTATCTGAAAAAAGAAATTAAGAAACTAATTCCATTTATAATAGTATCAAAAAATAAATAAAATACTTAGGTATAAATTTAACCAATGAGGCAAAGGATCTGGTTACTGAAAACTATAAGACACTGATGAAACAAATTAAAGAAGACACAAATTAATGAAAAGAAATCTCAGGTTCATTAACTGGAAGAATTAATATTGTTAAATTGCCTATACTACCCTAAGTTATCTACAGGTTAAATGCAATTGAATCCTATCAAAATACCACTGTAACTTTTCACATAAGTAGGAAAAAATCCTAAAATTCATTTGGCTGGTAAGCAGGAAACTACCTGAAGGGTTCCAGTTAGATTCTTCAGAAAAGTGGACACTCTGGGTCCTTAGCATGTCTCTGTCGAGAAAGCTGTTTTCAAAGGCTAAGCAAAACTCAGTAGGAGGTTACCCATTAGGTGCCACCAAAACTCAATAGGAAGTCACTTGTTATAGTGTATTCATCTGTTTTCTGTTACTATAACAAAATACCTAAGGTTAGATACTCTATGAAGAAAAGAGGTTTGTTTAGCTCATTGTTTGGGCAGTTCAAGGCGATGACACCAGTATGGGAGAGGGAGAGAGAATATGGCTAGACAGGAAGCCAGAAATCTGGGACAGCCCAATCTTGTTCTCTTATATCAACTCATTTGCACCTCCTAAAAGTTCCACCACACTCAAGAGCACCACATTGGGGACCGAGCTTCCAATGCATGAACCATTGAGAAACACCCTCCGACTACATCCAATTCTCAGCATGTGGTGTCTGAAAAATTCACTTTAGGGTGGCCACCACCACGGGGTCTCCACACAGCACAGGCAAATCATCCCAAGGGGCAAAAACAGAACAAAACAGAAACAAATTCTGGAGCCAGAAACTGAGACCCCTGCCTCTTACCGTAACCTCCCTACGCCTCGTATGCCAACCAGCAAAGGAGATGTGCTTACGGGGCCCAGCTCTGGAATCACAGGGCAAGACCGAGCTGCAGTACAGAACCTCAACAACTGTGTATGGTACCCTTGGCTTTTTGTTTATTTATGTAGTGAGGGTCCATACGATTTTTGCAGGAAGCCATCAGTGAACTGTCATGAACTAAAACAATGTTGAAGCCATCAGGCAGGAAAGGCTGGTTTTAGGAACTCCCAACAGCAACCCAGCTGGTTTGAGAATGCCTGGTTCATGTAGCGTCCTACCTCGCTCCATCACAAGCTCAGCACAGCATTGGAGATGGGGTGACCCAGCCTCTCAGAGATGGATGTGGCTTGCCAAAATGCCCACAGACCTGCTTCCTGCCAGACCCCTGCCACACCAAGAAGCAAGCACCCAGGACTCCTCTGGCTGCAACCTTAACCCTGCCTTTGACATACTCCCCCTTCAATAAAGACTCGGGGCCCTTTTTAAGTTGTTCATTTCCACCTCCTATCAGGACTGGAAGACCCGTCAAGCGCTCCCCTTTTTATAACTAATTTCTGGCTCTGTCTCTATTTCTTACTAATTATTTCAGACTTTTTCTTTCCCAGGCGGCTCACACCTCCTGAGCAGGAACCTACCCTGTTAGAGTGGCTGGTCACCCTGCAATATGAAAAGGACAACCTGTCTACCTCGTCCATAAAATTATTTCTGAAATTATCACCCAGGGTGTGTTTTTAGCTTCCCTGATACAAGAACTCAGCAGCAAGAAAGGCTGAGACCATAAACTATAACTATGGGACCTGGCTGTCCTGCGCCCACCTTCTCAGCAAGGCTGTTTGGACGACCAAACCACCCTTCCTATTCTCCTTCCTCACTTCCTCTTCCCATAGAGCTACTTTTCTACCAACCTACAATCGACTTGCTTCTTTGGTTTTAGTCTGCTGAGCATATGCCCAGTGAAGGTCAGGATTTGGGGCTGTTTTTCTCATTGATGTATCCCTGGCACCGAGAACAGGCTGACCCCTGTAAGACCCTCTTAAATGTTTTTTGAGTGAATGGATGATTTTCAAGTTGTGGGGGGTAGCGAGAGTAGGACAGGATGGCTTCTTAGGTTGAATCTGGGGTTGAAGGCTGTAATAAGGAGGAACCCAGACCTTTAAGGGTAAGGTCTGTGAGCCACAGGCCAAAGCCACAGAATGTGCTAGAGTTTCATCAGCAAAGACGGCTGCCAAGCTTTGGATGAGCACTCCCACAAAGGCCACACACATAGGGAAGGTTTGGTGCCCAGCCTGTGTTTCTATGGCAAAGTAGAGAAACCTTTAAGAGGTGGAATCTACTAGAAGGAAATATGGGAACCCCTGCCCCTTCCTGCCTCTCTTTTTCACTTTGCAGCCATTTCAGCCTGGTTTTCCTACCACAATGAGCTACCTCATCACAGCCCCAAAGGCACCAGGGGCAAGTGAACATGGATTGAAGCCTCTGAATCCATGAGCCAACTTTTCCCTCTTTAAAGTAGATTATCTCAGGTATTTTGTCACAGCAAGAGAGTGCTGACTAATACAATGTCCAGACAGTCGAATGGTAAATGGAACTTTCCTTGTGCCTCAGCTTCAGACCTCTAAGCTTCTCCTTCCTACCAGTTTAGAAGAAGCTTCAGGAATCTCATGGCCTGGGTGTGAACTAGTCAGAATGGTGGGAATCAAGCCAAAACCAAATAATACTGAAAGTGAAGGCCATGCTAATTGAGAAGTTAGGGTGAAAAAAAATTGGGGGAAATTTAAATTTCATGTGATTCGGTGACATGTAGTCTATGATGTGCCTACCTGCTCTTTCCCCCCCCACCTCTCCCCTCCCCCCAGCCGTCCGTCATCTAATGAGCAATGTGTATCCTGGTGGCTTGTTCAAGTTTCGATTCTGACTTGGCCCTCCCTCCCCTGCCTGGGGCTGACCACTGAGCCACCCTCACCTAGCCACCTGCCTTCTAGTGTTCTGGTGTGGCTGGAAGTCTTCCGGCAGAGTCAGTGAGACCTCAGGAGGAGGGAGAGGAGCCGTAGCCATCACCAGCAGGAGGTCAGAGGTTCCCAGGGTCTGGTAACCCCACTCACTCACCCGAGAGAGGAGAGGACTCACTGGGAGTCCTCTCACAGCCTGGGGTCCTGCTGCCCCAACCCATGTCTCCCTTTCTGCTGTGGCCGTTGGTATGCTTGGAGCTTAATGTCCCGTCAAACATCTATCGGGACTTTTTTATGCTTATCTTTCTCTTACTCTTTCTAGTTTGAAGGTTCACTTTCTGCATTCCTTGCTACCTCAGATGCATCTTTAGTGATAAAAAGGATGTCACTGAACCAGATTCATCCATGCCAGGCGGATACGTAGGACTGATTTCCAAATTAGGTGGATCCCAGGTACCAAGAGTCATTGACCCGACAGAAGTTCATCAACATTTTTCTCAGTTCTTTTAAGTTCCTCTTCTGAGCTCACACGCCTTCCACATCATCCCCTGTCCCCTCCCACCTCTAGATCTGTGTGTCGGCTCGGTCTCCTTTCTCCACCCCAGCCTCAGTTTGAGGTCCCATCATTTTCCTCGTGGTCTTTCCCACCTGACCTGAAGTCCCCTCCATGTCCTCATTTGGGATTTTCCCTCCTCTGGGTTCTTCACTGAACAGGGTCAGCTGCCCCAGATGTCCCCACAGCACAGAGGACTTCCGGGTACCTGCAGCACTCCTTGCTGTCTTCAACATCATTGCCCAGGCAGCCCTGCACTCACAGACACTGATGTCATCTCTGCCCCACTCTGTCCCCAACCTGTCCTTCCCCCACTGACTTCCCTCGGTGGCTTCCATTTTTCCCTCTTAGACCCTCAGCCAAAGCCCACTGTGCCTCTCAAAAATAGCAACAAAGATCCAAACACACCCTGCTGGAAGGGGGCTCTCGGGGCAGGTTCCCCATCCCGGCACTGATACGGGGACGCTGCCTGGGGAGGGTCAGGACCCTCAAGTCTCGACTCCTGATGGCCACAGACACGCTTCTCCTCTAGTAGCTGCCGCCTATTCAGAGCGCTAATGTCAGAAGCCAGAGGGGTCTCGGTGCTTCTCAGCATGGTGACACCAGCCGCCAACTATCACTCAAAGCAGCAGTAGCTTAGTTCCCTTATCTACGGCTACAGAAGGACAGTTGTCTAAAAGGCCACGGGGAAATTAAAGGCGGGGTCCAGGAGAAGAGGGGAGGAGAAAACTTCCCAGTTCCTTTCAGAGGCTCATGAGAGGCTCCAGAGTTCAACGGCTGCTGAACTCAGCTGATCCCTGAGATCCGAGACTGAAGGGGCAGAGCCACCCAGGGAATAACAGTGAGTGGCTCCTCTTGTCCCTGAGGGTCTCAACCAGCTCACTCAGAAGGAAGCCGTCTTCCCACTGCCCCAGGAATTCCCACGGCTCCCTGGATGGTGGATCAAGAGACTGCACCCCTCCCCGCAGGAACTCAATCAAACGGTAAGTCCTATAAGTTCTGCCCACGGGGATGCTCCGCGTGGTTTCACTTTTGCAAACATTTGTTTATCTCCCTCGAGAGGAAAACATCTCCGCCTGTCACAGGAAGCCGTTTCAAGGGTGAGCAAACTTTTTGAACATGTAGATATTATTAAGACCTACACGGATTTCTTGCAATTCAAAGCTGCGGTATTCAGTTCTCTTTCATTGTATGTGTTCTTAAATATTGTTTCCAAGTAGGCTAGCCTTGTGGCAACTAGAAGAAATTAAGCCAAGATGATGTCATGCCTATTTTAATGCCCTGGGGCACCTAGCACACCACTAAGTACTCAAGAGTCTGATGAATATAGTCGCTGCTGCTCCAGGGAGGTGGGTACCTGTTTAAAAAAAAAAAGTGTTTAATTTCAGCCTTCTGTGTTGCAGACCTACTCTGGTTAGAATAAAGCCAGGGGACCGTGTGGCTCTGTGGGTGCCATTCCTGGTTGTGGTTTCTTCTGGGATATTATACAGCCACAGGGAGGAGAAATAATCTCTTGTTTATCCACAGGACATCCAGAAAATGGGTAATTACACAGCAGCCCCGGATGACGAGGACTACGACGTCTTCATCAGCGATGTTCCGAAGAACGACGACAACGAGGTGGAACCACCACCGTGTGACAGATACATGGCCCAGGTCCTCTCAGCCCAGCAGGTGCTGCCGTTCTGCGGCACCCTGTTGGTGGCCGGTCTCCTGGGTAATGCCTTGTTTGTCTTTGTCCTGGTCAAATATAAAGGACTGAAATACGTGGAGAAAACCTATTTTCTGAACTTGGCCATTTCCAAGATGTGTTTCTTGCTTTTCCTGCCCTTCTGGTTTCACACTGCTCTGGAGAGGAGAAGTGCCGATGAGCCGCTGTGCTGGGTTTTCGCAGGACTCCGCGCGGTGGGTGTATTCAGTGAGGCGCTTTTCAACACCCTCCTGATCATGCAAAGGTACGTGGTGTTTTTCCACGTGAGATGGTTGTCCCCAGCCTTCAGGACGATGCCAGGCACTGTGATCACAAGTGTTCTGATGTGGGTGGTGGCCTTTCTGGTCACTTTGCCTGAATACGTGCTTTATCAACCTCAGATGGGATTCCAGGAAGACCAGTGGTGCTCCTTGAGCAGATCCCACTTTCTGCCAGCTGATGAGACCTTCTGGAAGCATTTTCTGACTCTGAAGATGAACATTTTGGTACTGGTTTTCCCGCTGCTCATTTTTGTATTTTGCTACGTGCGAATGAGAAACCGACAGAGGTTCAGGGAGAGTCCGCCTGACCTTTCTAGGCTCCCATTTGCCCTGACCGCCCTCTTCCTTTTGATGTGGGCACCCTACAACATCGTGCTTTTCCTGTCTGCTTTCAAAGAACACTTCTCCCTCCATGACTGCAAGGGCATCTACCGACTGGACAAGAGCGTTCAGGTCACAGAGATCGTGGCCATCGCCCTCTGCTGCCTCACCCCTCTTCTCTGTGTGTTTCGGAACAGGACACTTAGGAGATACCTCTGCAGGCGGCTCCTCTGGTGTAACGACACCTCGCCTCAACCCAGCGAGGGGTCAGACCCAGGTACATCAAGGCAAGATGAAGTCCACAGCACTGAAATGTAAACCAGCTAGCACCAACTGCGGGACAAATAAATGTTGACTTTTGTCTCTTTGCATTATTTTGTCCAATTTTTTTTTTTTTTACTCATTTGTATATGAAATAGAATATGGAAGAAAAAGGGGCTGGTGAAGGAACATTTACTAAGCCTTGGATTTGTCCCAGCCACTGTCCCTGGCTCTTTATGAACATGTGCTCTATCTCCCTGCTCCCTCAGTCCCATCCGGTGTAGATGGGATTCATCTCATTTCTCTGAGAAGGAAACTGAGGCTCAGAAATTAGAAAGCGGCAGGAGTGAGACACAAACCCAGTATCGTTTGCCCCAGACCCTATATGTTTTATCCAAGCAGGCTGAACTACCCGGAATTATCCAACAAAATACATGAAATAAATATGAGCTTTTAAAAAACAATTGGGGGCACATTCCACAATAAGAAACAACCCATTAATATAATTTTTCAGGCACATTTTCTTGCAGATGATCAGAAGGTCTGGCTATGGAAAGCAAGGCACAGTGACCTGTTCTGTAGGAGTTCTCCAAGATCCCTTGGCTACTCAGCACCCCAACGCCCCCAGGTCTCCCAAACCCATGCGCCTTCAAGGTTCCTAATATTTCCTCTGACTTTATCATAAAGGTGAGGGAATCTTAGGGAATATAAGTGCAAACTTCTGTTTAGAAAGGTCTAACAAGGGGCTGGGGTTAGAGCTCGGTGGTAGAGCGCTTATCTAACATGTGTGAGGCACTGGGTTTGATTCTCAGCACCACATATAAATAAATTAAATAAAGGTCCATCAACAACTTAAAAAAACATTTAAAAAAAAAAAGAAAGAAGGAAAAGGTCTAACAAAATAAACGCTTTGACCTTTTAATTATACCACACACCTCAGGCCTCACCAGCCCCTGACTACAGAATGTCCCACTTCCTTTCTACAACTGAATGATACCACACAGGACAGGCCCCACCTGCCACACCAGCAGAAAGCTAGCTCCCCACACAGAGTTCCCTCCCCCAGGACCCTGAGTCCTGCAAGTCTGGCTCAGTCTTGGTCTCATCATCCTCTCCCTGACCTGTGTTCAGAGACAGATTCCACACTCCCTGGTCTCTTGCTAACCCCATCCCTGTCCTTGAGGACGTGGGCAGTGGCCAGGTCTTGTAGACAAAGGGCCTGGGACAGGGCATCATCCAGAAGGTCCAACATCCTGCTTGCACCAGAGGCACAGCATTGACACTTGCTAAAGATGTCACCTGGTCACCTGCTCCTGCTGCGATCCAGAGCAGCAGCCAACACAGCTCCCCAGCACTGGCCATATGTTCGTTCCATTGAACCTCCGTGGAAAGCAGCAGGTCCACATCCCTCCTTCACAGCTAAATGGGTGGGTACGAATAAGGAGGCACAGGGACCTCTAACAAATGGAAAGGCCAAATCTTTGGCCAACCAAAAAGCATCCTTGATTTTGTCTCAAAACAGTGAATAGATAGGTAATTTGTATCAATGAAATAAGGTGAAGAAAATCTTATTTTCCAAGCATCAGAATTCTTTCCATGTCACCCTGAAGACTCCCCATTTGTGTTAGGTGAAGTATTTCAAAAGCCTATTAGGACATGGGATGAGACCCTCAAGGACCAGGCTTAAAAAACAATAAATGACTCCAGAGTAATTCTATGGCAGTGGTCTCAGACACGAGCACACATCACAACCTCTGTGTTGAAGCATGGATTCTGGGCCTCAGCCCCAAGTGTCTGATCCATTAGGTCTGAGAATGTGCATTGATGACAAATTTCCAAGGGATATGGATACTGCTGGCCCTGGGACCTCGCTAAGAACCACTGTTCTAGGGAGAAGAAACTCAACTAAGGTGTTTGGTTTTGTCCCCATTATAGTATGGAACTTAGAGCCAAGGCTGAATTGTTTGGGAATGTAACAGGGAATGGGGAGGCATTGGCAGGGGCTGCAGTGGGGGAGGTGGGGAAGACATAAGAAATGGCTGTCAGTTGCAGAGAAATTAGGGAGAGAAAGGATTAGTAAACCCTTCTCTGGTACTCTGCATCATTCACTGAGACGTTTTGGCTACATATACTTTTCTAAGATTGTGATGGGGTCCAAGTCTGATCATCTCAAGATGAGCTGGAGTTGGGCTGGGGGTGTGGCTCAGTGGTAAAACACTTGCCTAGCATGTGTGAAGCCCTGGGTTCCATCCCTAGCACTATAAAGAAAAAAGATAAAGATGAACTGGAGTGAGCACAGGGAACAGGTGTAACTGGGAGAAGCGTCCTTCTCTGCACAAAGGACCTTCCATTGCAAAGGTGAATGCTAGCTGACATCGAAAGAAAGAAGGAAGGAAGGAAGGAAGGAAGGAAGGAAGGAAGGAAGGAAGGAAGGAAGGAAAGAAAGAAAGAAAGAAAGAAAGAAGAGAATGAAACCAATGGTGACATTCAAAATGGTACCAAATATTTCAAGAAAAACATGGAGGAATTGGAACTCTCATTTACCACTGGTGGGAATATCCAATGGTACAACCACTTTGGAAAAACTTTAAAGGGTCTTAAAAAGTTAAACTATTACACTCAAGAATATTTGCCCAAGAGAAATGAAAACATGTAGCCATCCATAGACTTGTTCATGAATGTTCATGATTGCTGCATTTAAACAGTTCCACCATCCATCAACAAACATTATCAAGCAGGAGCATATCTATATAATGGAATACTGTGCACCAGTAAAAGGAATAAAGTACTGATTTGCACAACAACATGCATGAAATCTCAAAATGCTACATGAAGAAAGCCAGATATATTTTTAAAGAGTATTTATTTTATGAAGCCAAGTGCAATGGCGCACGCCTGTAATCCCAGCGGCTCAGGAGGCAGAGACAGGAGGATTGCAAGTTCAAAGCCAGCCTCATCAACAGTGGAGTGCTAAGCAACTCAGTGAGACCCTGTCTCTAAAGTACAAAATAGGGCTGGGGATGTGGCTCAGTGGTTGACTGCCCCTGAGTTCAATCCCCAGTACCAAAAAAAAACTTCTCCTTGGTATCAGGCATTGATATTTCTGTTTATTATATTAGAAATTTAGACACAGAAAATTTAGATATTTATCTTAAAGATTTTTTTAAAAAAATAATAAACCTATTGCATGTTAACATAAATATTTCTCTAAAAAAGATCTTCATTTTTTCAAAAGAAAAAAAAATTAACAATAAGTCTTGCTTTTTTTTTTTTTGGCATGTTCTTTTAATGGCTGACTCACTAAAAGAGACTGGATTCTCTTTCTCTTTCTGCAACCAAACTGTGGGAGTATCCATTGTCAGATAGCCCCTAGAGAATTCCACTTATGAGGGAATCAGAAAGAGAAATAACTTCTTGGCATCCTTATGAAACTAGTTTGTCCTCTAGGACCCCCTGAAAGTTTCACACACGGAGAAGAGCTCTAGACTGTCTCCTCAAAAATAAAATGACTAGATTCTAAGGTGTTTGTAGCTTCCAGACCCTTCCACATGGCACCATTTACACTCCCAGCTTCACAAGGTTACCAGCTCTCCAGATGGTCAAGACTTTAAAGATCAGAATAGAATACAGGTCTTCAGTGCTTGAGTAGGCAAAGGAAGTGGTTTCATTAAAATGCACTGTAGGCTGGGGTGCAGCTCATAGGTAGAGTGCTTGTCTCACCTACACCAGGCTCTGGGTTCCAGCCCCAGAACCACAGAGAGATGAGAAGGTTCTGTGTCAACTGACCGTCAGTATGAGAAAAAAAAAATGAAGTTTGACCTCTGCTCTATGTCATCAACAAAGGAACATGTCACCAACACGACATGGCCAGGAAGGAGGCAGACAGGAGAATCTATACTGTATGATCCCATTGACATCAAATTCAAAAACAGGCAAGATAGTGGTTACTTTGGGGGAGAAAGGAGGCAGGATTGGAAAACACATGAGAAGGGCTTCTGCTTATCATGTAGGTTCCCTGACCTAGTTCTAACATAAAAACCTAAAGACATCCTAGGACTACTGGGGGAATATGAATGTGAGCAGGGAGTCAGATGTCATGGAATTTTCATTTTCAAGCATGACAGTGAAATTTTGATGATAAGAAGAATGTCCTTGTCCTATGAAATACGGTCCTAGTCAGTTCAGACAACTACAATGAGAACTCCATAGACGAGTGGTTCAAACAACACTTACTTATCACGGTTCTGGAGGCTGGTAAGTCCAAGGTGGAGGTATCAGAGAGTCCTGTGCTGGCAGAGGGCCACTTCCACCTGCAGACAGCTGTCTTCTCCCCGTCCCTTCCCATGGCTGAGGGAGAGCAAGCAGACCTTCTCCTGTGTCTCTGCTCATAGGAGCACTAATCCCATCATGGCGGGGAGACCTCCTGACCTAGTCATCCCCCACCATATTCCCATCTCTATGTATCACTTTGGGGGTTAGGATTTCAGCATATGAATTGAGGGCAGCCACAAACATGTGGTCCATAACAAATGTCATTCAAATCATTGCATCACACGCACGCGCGTGCACACACACACACACCCCCCACATAAAAAGAAAGAGGGGAAAATATGTCAAAATGCTAACAGTTGGGAAATAGCACAGGGCTCCGCCAGGGTAGCAATAACTGCCACAGCAATGCCGAAGGGACCCAAGCAGCAACCACCAGAGGCCGAGTGAATCGGGGACGGAGACAGCACAAATCCCGCAGACAAGGTGGTGAAGAAAGGGAAGAAGGACAAGAAGACCAAAAAGACGTTCTTTGAGGAGCTGGCAGTAGAAGATAAACAGGCTGGGGAAGAAGAGAAAGTGCTCAAGGAGAAGGAACAACAGCAGCAAAAGCAGCATCAACAGCAACAGCAGCAAGAGAAGAAGCGAGACACTCGAAAAGGCCGGCGGAAGAAGGATGTGGATGATGATGGAGAGGAAAAAGAGCTAATGGAGCGCCTTTCTGTACCTGCCAGTGACAAAGAGGATGAGATACCTGCCCCAATACCCCGAGCAGGAAAGAAGACCAAGGGTGGTAATGTTTTTGCAGCCCTGATTCAGGATCAGAGTGAAGAAGAGGAGG